TATTTTATTTTATTTTATTTATTTTATCTGGTTTTAACTCGCTGGACTATATGGGTTATTGATCTTCATCTTGATTAAATTTTATATTACTCAGCATTTGGATCCAGATCTGAAACTTACCAGGGTTCAAGGCTGTTAAGACCCAGGAGATTGATTTCAATCCATTAGGTTGATAGCTACATGTCAGAAACTTGACTGTTGACAAATATTAAAAAAATATATAAATAATAGGTACATTTGAAGGCGGGACTCTAGTTCAGGCCTGTGTCAAGCAGCAATTCTGATTTTTAATTACATTTGTCTTTTTTTCTTCTTTGTAGAACCAAGTTGCTAATCTTAAAATCTTTACCCACAATTGTGAGAAACTATATATGGAGCCTGAAGTAGAAAAGGAAGGCACGTTCATGACTTGTGAGAGTGCAAGAACCATCTATCCAGCTTCAGAAATGCTCTGTACTGAAGAGACATTACAAGCAAAAAACGCGCATTTACAGACTTATTCTCAACACCACGCTGCTTGTGATAAGAGAGAAAGTTGTCATCAACAAGTCGTCTGTGAACAAGGAATTAAGATTGTTAGTAATGGCAACAACTCAAAGAATGATGTTTCCCCTTTTCCTTTGTGGGATACGAACTCTGTTCCTGATAAACAAGAATGTTTATGTGCTGTTCTGTCTTCTGCAAAGCTATGTGATGAGCCAAGGGAGGGAGAGCAACGGTGTAGTTTTGACTCACACGATAGCAACGACACAGATATTCTCTGTAGTACATCATGTGACGAATCTCTGTGTCAAGCTAATCCCAAGTCAGTCCTGGAATCTGGAGAACCTGGGTGCAAAGGAGATGCTGATATATCTGCAGTGCATGACAAGCTGTGGAAACTTCTTCATGAAGATGACTCAGACTATCAAATCCCATTTGAAAACCGGGGGCTCACAAGTTTAGAAATTAGGCCGACGGATGTCAAAGTCACAGAACTGAACTTCGTACAGGAGACCTGTTCTGATCATCCTGTGCCAATAAATCTGATAGATGAGCAGGAACCTGTTACACAACCAGCTAACAGACAAAGAACAGAGAAAGATGACTGCAATGTTTCTGATATCCTACTTAAAACAGACGAAGCACATAACAGTGCATCCATGGGAAACATTTGTCTTGCACAAGTGGTAGAAACAGATGGTATATGTCTAGATTCTAGCACTGGAAATAAAACGGAAACAGCATCCATTTGTGTTTCAGCAAGTAGTATCGTCTTAAGTACAGGGGAGTGCTTGGAGCAGAAGCTGAATCAAACGTTAACTGACAGTAATGGATCCATTCAAATGACTGTTGCTTGGGAAGGAGAGCTTACTGTTACTAATGCTTCACAAGCATGTGATGCAGATTCTCCTCAAAGGTTGAAAAATGCTCAGAGTAGTAGTTTAGCATGTGACAAAGAATACTCGGCTTACGTGTCAGATAAGTTGTGTGGGACAGTTGGACCATTACTTTGTACTGAGCACAACATATCCTTGATAAATGAGTCTGTAGCTGGTAAAGGGTGTAATTTTGGAGACTGTTATCCAGCAAGAAAAGAACTGGCTTATTTCCCTGAAAAGAAAGACATATTCCCCAGTGAGTTTACACATGAAGAACACCCATCTGTAAACACCATACATAAAAGTAATGAAGAGAATTTACATGAAAATGGAAATCACTCAGATTTGAATGCACAAAGTGACATTAATTCTGACAGTTATCATCTTTCAAAAAATGATGACTGTCAAGATGTCCAAGTTGTTTCTAATGCACAGAAATACGGTTACCTAATGCAATCGCCTAATTTAATTAAGACTCCCGAAACCGTAACACATAAGAATCTGCTCCAAAATATAGACCAACTGACAGAAATAGAAGAAGTGGCATTCACTCCCTCTTCTGAGGATCCATTTTTAAGAGATTTTTATGTAGAAATACCCAGATATGAACCATGTAAAACAGGAGAGATACGCGTAGGTGATGAACAAAGGTCTGAAACTTCCCATGACTCAGGAGTTTCAGAGAGTCAGACTGCAGTTTCCCCTCATGATACATCAGAACAGCATGTATTTTTTGTTGACAGCACCTTTAAGTCTGATGAAGAGTTAAAAACGGATTCTTCGAAAAATCACACAGATGCATCTGTAAGTGAAACATCAGTTAGTACCCCACTGCCTAGAAAGGCACAAAATGAGTACCACAGCATAGCAAACGAGGCTTATAGAGATATCAGTAATCAGTTAGCTATCCGACAACTGGCTGTAGAAGAAACATTACCATTCTTCACACCTGTACGCCAGTCAGAGGGCCTTCCTACCAGTGCATCAGCAATGGACTGCCCTGCCACAGGAAGTCATGTAAAAACTGAATCCACACAAACTGCGGTCAAAGTAGATGAAAATTTGAGTACGCTGGAAACTTTCTGCAAAGCATTGCAGGATCGGTGCCATAGGGTGCCTGAAGAAAACAAGGAGGAAGCAGTCTTGTGTGAAAATAAACAAGAGATTCAAAGAGCTACTGAATATAACCCAGGTGAAGCTGAAACAAAGTCTCCTTTGCACACTTTAATTAGCTCCAAGGCTCAGAGAGAGATCATGAATATTAGTGCTAAACAGTCCTGTCCTGACTTTATCTCTTCCAGCAAGCTAATTGAGGTTGATAATTCAATGAAGTCTACTGAGTGTGGTAAGGATGAAGAAGTCATTACATCAGAGAGCATAGTAAGTGCTTTAGTTAATTTGCCACCAGTTGATTCAGGGAACAACCAGTATTTTCAAGAGCAACCACCTTACAGCAGAACTCAGCCATTCTCCTTAGCATTGACCACATATGATCCACTCCCAGTCAACGCGGAAAGGCTAAGAAATCAAGAAGGATCAAAATCCTACCAGACATCCCCAACCGTTGCTGAGCCCGAACCCATCAAATGTAAACAAGACACAGCAAAAAGCGGGCATTTTGCTACTGGAGCTAAGACGAAATTACCGCCAGCTACACTGTCAAAAAAACCCCGACTGGAGGGGAGAGAAAATGTCAGCAATGATCCTAGCACTGTTAAAAAGTCTGTGAAGAGTGAGGCAGGCATGATTCATAAGGAAGATAGAAAAGAGCAAAGGAAACTAATTTTGAAAAAGGATAGCAAAGGTAAGAGAAAACTGATTTTCATTTCTGTCCTTTCCCATCGTTCTGGCTACAGTACGAAATTCAAATTCGTTAAACACACTGCAAGCCTGCGTTAGTCTAAACCATGTCAGCTAAAGGTGTCCTGCCCTCACTGATTTTAATTTCCAGTTCTGTGAACTTAGTAACTAGTGCTGTGCCCCTGCCACAGAGCTGAATCCTCCCTAACATCCTTTTCCTAGCTGGCAAATATATGCAATTTATGAACTTTTTAACCTGTTTGAAATAGTTACTTCTATGGGACCACATAACTACACACAATATAGCAACTGCAGGCCCAGTACTTGCATGTTGTTATGTTGCCCCGGGGCTGTGTTCCCAGTTACGCTTCTGCACTGTGGCTCCCAAATGCAGTTACCCTCTCTCGGCTACCAAATGGTTTCATTGCTAGCAAAGTGTTATTGTTATTAGTAGGGTGCCACTGATAAACATAATGTTTGCAGTCCTATCTGATGACTGATGGCTGGTTCTGCATTCCTTTTCACAACTGTTGGTCGTAAGTGACACTGATAAAATTAGCAATACTAAACTGACACAGAAAACATATAATTGAAATGGGATTCAGGTTGCTTGTCAGAGTCTCTAGGAGGTTGCTAGCAGGTAAAACAAAATGCAGACAGGAGTAGCAATAGTGTAACAGCTAGACAGATGAGGTATTTGTGGTTTCTATGGTTACTTTGCAAGGACCCAGGTCTTGTTTTTACCTTTTGATGTTACATTTCATATTCACATCATAAAATAATTTAATAGATCAGAGCAAGACTGAACAGTGACTAAAGGTAATTTATGCAGCTCTGAGAGATTCTAATTACAGTGCGGTCTGAGAGTTCTACTTTTCCAATCATGTTTAAAAAAGCCCCAAACTTTTCTCTGTTTGGAGATGTGTCCTTTGCCAGAGAACCAAAAGTGCGGGAGGAGAGACACATTCCTTCAAAGCAGAGCAAGCTATTGTTTTTTCCGTCTACCCGAGGCTATGCTTGAAAAATGCTCTAAACGTTCAGGCTTGAATCAGATAAATCTGAATTTTCTTAACACGCTTGTAATCTGCTTCAGTCTAGTCTGAAATGAATGTACGTTTGTGCTTTAGAGAATTGTGTGGACCTTTGCCCAGCATTATGGGAAGGTTGGTATGGTTAGTCTGGTATATGCTCAGTGTTCTCTTTTGTATTATTTTCAGCTGCAGGAGGGACGACTTTGTGGTCAGGGCAGGGAATCTGGAGGCATTAGTTCTATTTACAGTTTGGTCACATAACTGTCTGTGTCATTTTAGCCCTGATTCAGCAAGATTCTTGGGCCTAAGGACTTAAGTGACTACAAGTTAAACATAGCAGTGAATTCCAGGTGCCTGACCCTTCATGTTGGATCCAGCATTAGACAGGGAAAATTAGAGTGCTGGAATGGGATCCCCAAGGGAGGTGTGTCATGCCAGCTCATTTGGAGTGCAGCAGCACAGAATTAACACAGTAGGAAACATAACATCTTGCATTTTACATCCCTTACATCTAGCATGGATGTCTCACTTGAGCACAGGGATGTGTCATGATCCCAAAACCTTTCCTTAAGTATATATTGACTCCCTCTCTTTCCAAGTACTCTCCATTCTCTCACTCACATCATGCCCATGTGCAGAAGATGCTGGAATGTTCTGTGAGCCAGTAAACTAGTCTTAGCAGAGAACCAGGTTGTCAGGACCTTGCCCAGACTGAGCAGCGCTCTCTTTCTCTAGCTTGAATGACTCTTGGCTTAGTTCTGCGTGATGGTCAATGTTTAGCAAGAGCTGTGCCCTGTGGCTGCAAAGGTAGGGACTTTCTTTAAAGGTGGGAGGTTAATCCTTTGAAACTGAAAAGGGAAGCAAAGGCTACGGACATTGCCAAATGCACATAGCTAACCACTAAGTGTGGGTTCCTCCCTCCAGCAGCATTTTAAAGGAAGTGGTGCCGTCGCTGCATCTTGCAGAGGGTCTCATCCTGGCAGTGTATTTTAGGCATGTTCCAAGAACACCTTGGAGCATCTCCTGGGACATAAGTCTTTTCTCTGAAAGGCTGTTAAAAATATCTACTAGTTACAAGTATTCAGTTAATGTGAATTCTCATTATGTAACCATATGGTATGCTTTTGTGGTACCTTTGTGGTGTCTTATTTACTGATAAAACGAGCTGGTCCTTTAGTCAGAGAGTATGTATTTTGGTTTAATAAGTTATTTTATGTCGATGCCTTTTCAGGCTAGAACTTCCCTTGGGTCCTATTCCATAAATTCAAAATGTCTTTGCATTGAAAGCATTTCCATTGACTGTGTGGGGCACTGAATCAGTCTTTTAAAACCTCTGTATTTTAAAGCCTTCATTTCTGCATCAGAAGAAATTATAATTATTTACCAGTGTTGTTAGATTCATATTCTTAACGTCTGCAAATTGTTCTGGGATTCCTTTAAAATGCCAAACCATCATTATTATCTTCTAATCCTAAACTGTGGCTCTTCTGTTTCAAGCTCCCAAGCTGCTGAAGAAAATCCAAGCGGAGTTGTTCCCTGACTGCTCTGGAAATATTAAGCTATGCTGTCAGTTTGGTGACATTCATGGTGACTCCACCATTACATGGACTAAAGATTCCAAGTTACTAGCCCGACTGCAGAGAAGGTGAGTGAATGTTTCTGAAGGACTGGTAGTTTCTAAATATCTTTTGGGAAAATATGCCAGTGATTCGCTCTTGTACCTGTTAGGAGGATTAGTATGATAGGTGCAAAAAATAAGTTTAAACAGGGTAATTAAGAGCATATCTTCACCCAGTGCGTTACTATTGGTCATAGTTTGCATTCCATCACCAGTAATTCCTCTCTGCCTGTTCATAACCAGTCTCCTCCAACATTCATGTACTGTAAAAGATCAAATGAAGTCTGAACCTCAGCACCCAGCCAAATAACATAAACACCCTTGGGTAACACGTAGGAGGCTCTCTGTCCTTGTGTGGTGGAAATGAATTGCTGAAACAACTCACATGCAATGTAGAGCTTGACGTGGTTATTCCGCAGTATCAACACAGACGAGGGGATGAATAGATTGAGAGCAGCCCT